AGGCAGAAAGTGAAGAGGAACTAAAGAGCCTCTTGATGCGGGTGAAGGAGGAGAGCACAAAAGTTGGCTTGAAACTCAACATTAAGAAAACTAAGATCATGGCATCCAGTCCTCTAACTTCCTGGCAAATAGATGGGGAAGAAATGGAGGCAGTGACAGATTTTATTTTCCTGGGCTCCAAGATCACTGCAGATGGGGACTGCAGCCAAGAAATTAAAAGACGCTTGATCCTGGGGAGGAAAACTATGGCAAACCTAGATAGCATTTAAAAAGCAGAGACATCACCCTGCCAACAAAAGTGCGTATAGTCAAGGCTATGGTTTTCCCAGTTGCAATGTATGGCTGTGAAAGCTGGACCATAACCATAAGGAAGGCTGAGCACCAAAGGATTGAGGCCTTTGAATTGTGGTGCTGGAGGAGACTCCTGCGAGTCCCTTGGACTGCAAGGCGATCAAACTGGTCAGTCCTAGAGAAGATCAACCCTCACTGCTCTTTAGAAGGCCAGATACTGAAGATGAAATTCAAATACTTTGGTCACCTAATGAGAAGGAAGGAGTCCCTGGAGAAGAGTCTAATGCTGGGATCAATAGATGGCAAAAAAAGAAGGGGATGGCAGAGAATGAGGTGGCTAGATGGAGTCACTGAAGCAGTTGGTGTTAGCTTAAGTGGACTCTGGGGGATGGTGGAGGATAGGAAGGCCTGGAGGAATGTTGTCCATGGGGTCACGATGGGTCGGACACAACTTTGCGACTAACAAGAACAACAATGCTGCAGGTAAGGAGGGAACTCTGTCAAGGTTACCCACAGCTGAGCATCTCCTTGTGAGAGGATGGGAGGTACATTTACCATTGTTATTGCTAGTAACTAAGGTTTCCTTCTCATCCACCCCAAATAGGGAATGTTAGCAATTTGAGATAGAGTGAATGGTGTCCAGGCAGCCGTCACCTCCTTCCAGCAAGAAGCTGCCCAAGCCATAGTGTCACTGGTATATGTTCTTCTTTTCTAGGAATATAAGTATGCCAAGGGGAATACAGCATTTCAAGCTTCTCCCACTCTTTCCTGCAGGAACAGCTTATGGAACAATATACAAATTTAAAAATGTGACTTTCTCCAACTAATAAGACCTCCTTGGGGCTCATGCAAAAGTTTTTCCTCACTGTAGAGTTTCCTAGGACTGAACCCAGAACCTTCTATATGTGAAATATGTGCTCTACCAGCAGGCCCTCACTCTTATAAATACAAAAAAATACAGGTTCCATCTCAATCAGAGGTGCTTGAAGTAACAAGACACACCTTGCATAAAAGGAATCTGTATGTCCTGTCCATTCAAAGAGATTCCACCGCCATATTTCAGTTTAATAATGCTGTTCTCTTCCTGGAGCTGGACAGAGACTGAATGGGTACACACTGCATCAGGTTCATCAGCACACTAAAAAGAAATCAAAATGTTAAATGAGCACTGTTCTTTCAATTTAGCTGAAGTTTTACTCTGTCAGTTGCTGGGACTTCATAAACATGATAATCTGTTTTAACAATGGTTCAGCCATTTTTTTGTACACAACCAGTGTACTAGTATTTACACCATGTAGCTGAGGTAACCTAACAGATATTAATCCTGTCAACAAAAACTCGTTCTGAGGAAGTAGAGACTTATAACGGAGACATTGTCAGCTCCATTACCAAATTACAGTTGCCAGGACTTGGTCAGGATGATGGGATAGAGAACCATGACAGCTATTGTGATATAATAAAACTCATATAAATATGCCATTTAGGTTTGCCCAATGTTCCCATGAGCAGAAATATACTTGCACCTCTGATAGTATTCAAAAATAAGCTGAAAATCAAGTCACAAAAATATAATATAAATGTGATAGACACTGTTCTAGATCACTTACAATTTTTCTAAATATTAATATTGCTATGTCTGTTTAAGTTAGGAGACCATCAGATTAGCATTGTTTTCAACAATAATCCATTCTCTTTGCCACATATAGTTCCATGTTATCTTCCTCAAACATGGGTCCTCAAACTATGGCCCAGGGGCTGAATCCAGCCCACCATGCCCATTTGGACCCACCGCGCACGCACCCGCACCCATGCACGCCCGCACCACCACCCACCTCACCCCAAGTGTGGGGAGGCAGCAGTTTGCTCCCTCGGAGAAACATAGAAACAGAGCGAGTCAGAAGGGACCTCCCGGGCCAACTAGTCTGACCTCTGGCACCAGCCGGCTCCGCTCACAACATGCCCACCATGTGCACGTCCAGCCTATCCTTGAACACCCACACCAATGGGGCCTCAACGACCTCTCGTGGAAGCCCATTCCACACCCTCGGGGTCCTAACTGTCAGGAAGTGCTTCCTGGCATCCAAATGGAACCTTGGCTCCCTGAGATTTGCTCTGTTGGAACATGTTCTGCCTTCCTCTCCAGGGGAGAACAGGTCTCTACCCATCTCCATGTGACATCCCCTCACATACCTGTATGTCGCCAACATATCCCCTCTGAGTCTCCTCTTCTCCAGGCTGAAGAAATCCAGTTCCCTCAGTCTCGCCTCATACCCCATCCCCTGCAAACCGGCCACCAACCTTGTGGCCCTACGCTGCACAGACTCTAACCTGGCTATATCCTTTCTGGAATGAGGGGCCCAAAACTGAGCACAATACTCCAGTTGTGGGAGCACCAGAGTCATATAGAGTGGTAGTAATACCTCTCTCGATCTAGAAGCTACGCTTATGGCTATGCAACCAAGGGTGGCGTTTGCCCTCTTGACTACCACATCACACTGCTGGCTCATGTTTAGCCTGCAGTCAACCAGTACCCCGAGGTCCCTTTCCCAAGTGCTGCTCTCCAGCCACTTGTCACCTAACCTGTACCTATGACACCTATTCCTATGCCCCAAGTGCAAGACCTTGCACTTATCCACATTGAACGCCATCCTGTTGTCTCCTGCCCACTTCCATAGTCTGCCCAGATCCTTTTGGATCAGGAGTACCTGCTCCTCAGTTGTGGCCACTGCTCCAGTTTTAGTGTCGTCTGCGAATTTGATCAGCAGACTGTTCACCCCTTCTTCCATGTCATTAATGAATAGATTAAACAGGATCGGCTGCAGGACAGAGCCCTGGGGAACCCCGCTTGTCACTGGCCACCATCCCGATGATTCCCCACTAATGGGTACCCTCTGCTTTCGGTCAGTCAACCTAACCCTAACCCTAATCCACCAGACAGTGCTTTGGTGTATCCCAAAACTCCTCAGTTGCTCAACCAGGATATCATGGGGCACTTTGTCAAAGGCCTAGCTGAAATCCAGGTATACCACATCCACTGCATCCCCTCCATCTAGCCACCTCAAAACCTTGTCATAGAATTCCACAAGGTTTGTCTGGCAGGACCTGTTTTTGCAGAAGCCATGTTGTGTGGCTGTCAGCCTCCCTTCCCTATCTAGCATCACTAGATTTCTCTCTATTATGAGCCTTTCCATTGTCTTTCCTACAATGGATGTAAGGCTAACAGGTCTGTAATTCCCCATGTCCCTTCTACTACTGGCCACCCTCCAGTCCTCTGGAACTTCAGCTGTTCTCCGCGAGGCCTCAATAATGGAGGCCAGTGGGCGTGAGAGAAAACCCCTGCCAACTCTCTCAGTACTCTTGGGTGTAACCCATCAGGACCTGGCGCCTTTGTAATGTCCAATGCCCTGAGGAGCCCCTCGACTTCAAGGGGGGTGACTCTAATCTGTGCTCCTAAGTCCCCAGCCTCATCTAATCTCCTATGTGGATATCCCCCGTCCTGCTTTGGGGAGAACACAGAGGCAAAATAGTCATTCAGCATCTGTGCCTGTTCCCTCATATCAGTCACTGGATCTCCTTCCTTATTTAGTGGTCCCACCACTTGTCTCCCCTTCCTCTTCCTATTTACATGCAGAAAGAAGCCCTTTTTGTTGCTCTTGATATTCTTGGCAAGTCTCACCTTGTAATCAGCCTTAGCCTTGCGAAGAATCCTTCTGCAACGGGCCTCCTCCTCCTCCCGGTATACCCTTTTGTCTATTTGCCCCAGTACCCATTTCCTATGGAGGTTCCTCTTTCATCTAATCCCTCTAACCACCTCCTTTCACATCCATGGCAGCACTCTCCTCCGCCTCCCCACCTTACTGACTAGAGAAAACGATCTCCAAACAAACAAGCCGCTGCCTTGTGTGCCCACCTTGCAGCATGTGCCTGCCCTCACCTTGAGCCCTGCCCCTGCCTCAGTGCACACCCACACATGCCACCCCACCCCTGTGCTGTCCCACATGCACCGCCAGCACCACCTTTCCGGCCCGGCCCGGCCCAGTACCGGTACCTTTCAACTGGCCCCCTGGTGAAAAAGTTTGTGGACCCCTGCCATAGAAGATGTCATCCACAGATTGTAAACATTTTCTATGTAGCCAGGAGAGCCAGAAATATCTTTGCTTATAAAGAAGGTGAGTTTTTCAGTATGTTTTTATGCAACTAAGTAAACTTGAACTAGAAGTAAATTGAGGCTGCTGTTTTCCAATATACCCCTAGGATCTCTGTAACAAAGTTTGTCCATAGCTAAGCACTCTGTCAAAATGGTTGCTTCTAGGGAGAGGCTGAGAGAACGAGCATGCACGTACAAGAAAAACAGAGGCCTCATGTTTTTCTTGTAAAGAAAATACTCTTACTTGGACAGTCTCTATGAAGACAGAAAAGGAGTTGTTCTCACAATCTCGAGCAAACAAGTAATGGCAGATGCCAGTGAAGGTGAAATGTTTGTTGTCAAAGCTTTTGAAATGGGATTGGCCAGTAACAGAGCATTCACCTGAAAAAACAAGACAAAAAAGTGACTTCAAACTAAGCCAACAACATGGCTTCAAACTAAAGCATATGCTTTACTTGTAAGAAAAAACAAAAAGCAGGAAGTAGACTTACACGCATTCTTGATTCCTAGTGGTTAGACAATGCCCACAGAATTGCTGGTCCCAAAGTTTATTCCTTTCTGGCTGAAGTTCAAAGAATACTTATTTGGAAATAAATACCAGTGAAATATGTGGAACTGAATTATAAGAACATTTAGGGTTTAGCTTCCTAAAATGGGTGTCCCTATGCTTGAGATGAATTATCTTGGTTATTCAAAGGGACATTAAAGAGGTTGTACCACTACAGAGGAGTTAATTCACTTCAGTTATCCTGCCTTCAATTTAGAGTTATTTTCAAACTGTGTTTTGAGAATACTTTGTGTTTTATAACCCTATTATTTTATCCTAGCCAAAGCATTCTATGTAGTGTACAACTATTGATAAAGTACAATAAAAATACAATTAAGGATGTCATACATTTTCACTAGAAAATTAAAATCAAATTTTAACAACTTAAACATTTATAACAGATCCATACCTCTCAGTCTGCTAAAACTGAGCTCATAATGCTTCCCTGCCCTGTGCTATTCAGACTTGTTAAAAGCCTTAGCACAGAGGGAAGTCTTAGCCTGGTGCTGAAAGGACAGTCAGCACCAGGTGAACCTCAGTGGGGAGATTATTCCATGTTCTGGTGATAGCCACAAAGAAGGCCTTCGTCCTTGTTGCCACCATCCAAGCCTCTCTTGGAAGTACGTAGTATTCTGAGGAAGACCTCAGATATTGAGTAACGTATCCAGGTAGAAATGCACTCCATGGCCTCAAGCCATGTATGGTTTTATAGGTTAAAAACAGTACCGTGAATTAGGCTTGGAAGCATACAGCAAGCAGTTCAAGTGGACCTGAACAGGTGTAATACGTTTGGCTCCTTCATGGATCACTGCCTTGTCATGGTGAAGGGGCTTACATAGCTCAATGAAGCTATGAGCTATGCTGTGCAGGGACACCCAAGACAGACAGGTCATAGCAGAGAGCTCTGAAAAAACGTGATCCACTGGAGAAGGAAATGGCAACCCACTTCAGTATCTTTGCCATGAAAACCCCATGGACAGTACCAAAAGGCAACAGGATATGGCACCGGAAGATGAGCCCCTCAGGTCAGAAGGTGTCCAATATGCTACTGGGGAAGAGCAGAGGGCTAGTACTAGTAGCACCAGAAAGAATGAAGCGACTGAGTCAAAGTTGAAAGGACACTCAGTTGCAGATGTATCTGGTGGTGAAAGGAAATTCCAATGCTGTAAAGATCTATACTCCATAGGAATCTGGAAAGTAAGATCCATGAATCAAGGCAAGCTGGATGTAATCAAACAAGAGATGACAAAAATGAACATCGACATCTTAGGAATCAGTGAACTAAAATGGACAGGAATGGGTGAATTTAATTCAGATGACTATCAGGTATACTACTGTGGGCAAGAATCCCTCAGAAGAAATGCAGTAGCCTTCATAGTCAATAAAAGAGTAGGAAAAGCAGTACTGGGATACAATCTCCAAAATGACAGAATGCTCTCAGTTCGAATCCAAGGAAAACCATTCAACATCACAGAATTCCAAGTCTGTGCCCCAACCACTGGTGCTGAAGAAGTTGAAGTTGACTGGTTCTATGAAGGCCTACAACACCTTCTAGAATTAACACCAACAATTTTGTCCCCATCATCATGGGGAATTGGAATGCTAAAGTAGGAAGTCAAAAGATAACCGGAACAGCAGGCAAGTTTGGCCTTGGAGTACAAAATGAAGCAGGGCACAGGCTGGTAGAATTTTGTCAAGAGAATACAAAGGTCATAGAAAACACTCTTTTCCAAAAGCCCAAGAGACGACTCTACACATGGACATCACCAGACGGTCAACACAGATATCAGATTGACTATGTGCTCTGCAGCCAAAGATGGAGAAGCTCTATACAATCAGTAAAAACTAGACCAGGAGCTGACTGTGGCTCAGATCATGAGCTTCTCGTTGCAAAATTTAGGCTTAAATTGAAGAAAGTAGGGAAAAGGACTAGGCCACTCAGGTAGGACCTAAATCATATCCCTAATGAATATACAGTAGAGGTGACAAATAGATTTAAGGAATTAGATCTGATAGACAGAGTGCCTGAAGAACTATGGACGGAGGTTCGCAACATTGTGCAAGAGGTAGCAACTAAAACCATCCCAAAGAAAAAGAAATGCAAGAAAGCCAAACGGCTGTCTGAGGAAGCGTTACAAATAGCTGAGGAAAGAAGGGAAGTGAAAGGCAAGGGAGAAAGAGAAAGATACACCCAATTGAATTCAGAATTCCAGAGAAAAGCTAGAAGAGATAAGAATTCCTTCTTCAATGAACAGTGTAAACAATAGAAGAAAACAATAGAATAGGGAGGACCAGGGATCTCTTCAAGAAAATTGGAGATATGAAGGGAACGTGTCATGCAAAGATGGGCATGATAAAGGACCAAAATGGCAGGAACCTATCAGAGGCAGAAGAGATTAAGAAGAGGTGGCAAGATTACACAGAAGAACTGTACAAGAAAGAGCTTAATGTCCCTGATAACCATGTTGGGGTGGTCACTGACCTCGAGCCACACATCCTGGAATGTGAAGTCAAATGGGCCTTAGGAAGTCTGAGCAACAACAGAGCTAGTGGAGACAGTATTCCAGCTGAGCTATTCAAAATCCTAAAAGGCAATGCAGTTAAAGTGCTACACTCAATATGCCAGCAAATTTGGAAACTCAACAGTGGCCACAGGATTGGAAAAGGTCAGTTTACATTCCGATCCCAAAGAAGGGCAATGCCAAAGAATGTTCAACTACCGCACCATTGCACTCATTTCACATGCTAGCAAAGTGATGCTCAAAATTGTACAAGCTAGGCTCCAGCAGTATGTGGACCGAGAACTACCAGAAGTACAGGCAGGATTTCGAAGAGGGAGAGGAACTAGAGATCAAATTGCCAACATACACTGGATCATGAAGAAAGCTAGGGAGTTCTAGAAAAACATCTACTTCTCTTTCATTGACTATGCTAAAGCCTTTGATTGTGTGGATCACAACAAATTGTGGCAAGTTCTTAAAGCGATTGGAGTACCAGGCCATCTTATTTTTCTCTTGAGAAACCTATATGCGGGTCAAGAAGCAACAGTGAGAACTGAACACGGAACCACTGATTGGTTCAAAATTGAGAAAGGAGTTCAGCAAGGGTGTATACTGTCACCCTGCCTATTTAACTTATATGCAGAGCACATCATGAGAAAGTCAGGGCTAGAGGTATCACCAGTTGGAATTAAAATTGCTGGGAGAAATATCAGATATGCAGGTGATACCACTCTAATGGCAGAATGTAGAGGAACTAAAGAGCCTCTTGATGCAGGTGAAGGAGGAGAGCGCAAAAGTTGGCTTGAAACTCAACATTAAGAAAACTAAGATCATGGCATCCGGTCCTCTCACTTCCTGGCAAATAGATGGAAGCAGTGAAGGTAGTGACAGATTTTATTTTCCTGGACTCCAAGATCACCACAGATGGGGACTGCAGCCAAGAAATTAAAAGACCTTGCTCCTGGGGAGGAAACTATGGCAAATCTAGACAGCATTCTAAAAAGCAGGAGACATTACTCTGGCGACAAAAGTGTGTATAATCAAGGCTATGGTTTTCCCAGTTGCAATGTACGGCTGTGAAAGCTGGACCATAAGGAAAGCTGAGCGCAAAAGGATTGAGGCTTTTGAATTGTGGTGATGGAGGAGACTCCTGCGAGTACCCTGGACCGCAAGGCGATCAAACTGGTCAGTCCTAGAGGAGATCAACCCTGACTGCTCTTTAGAAGGGCAGATGCTGAAGATGAAACTCAAATACTTCGGTCAGCTAATGAGAAGGAAGGACTCCCTGGAGAAATGCCCAATGCTGGGAACGATAGATGGCAAAAGAAGAAGGGGATGGCAGAGAATGAGGTGGCTAGATGGAGTCACTGAAGCAGTTGGTGTTAGCTTAAGTGGACTCTGGGGGATGGTGGAGGATAGAAAGGCCTGGAGGAATGTTGTCCATGGGGTCGTAATGGGTGGAATATGACTTCATGATTAACAACAACAATGGGTTTGCATGGTTCTTGCAGTGGGTGAACTAGCTTTCCTGAAAGGAAGCTAGCCCACCACTACCGACCTTCCTTTTCAGTACATAATCATTAGAAAATATCTCTTTTCATATAGTTTAATGGTAAGATCAAAAAATGCTTGGCCATTCTTTGCAGGATCCAGAACAAGCCGCAGAATTTTTAGCAAGACATTGGGTTTCTTTGTAAAATATGCAGAGATTACTGTCTGGACATGATTTCATGAAGACAACCATGTAATGCTTGGCTTTTTAGCTAACAGATTAAATAATGTGATTGAATTTCTATCATACTGGTTTTATTCATTTTGAAACTACTTTCCAGCTTGAATATTAGGAAAAATGATGAATATTGCTAAAAGGTGAAAAAATTGACAGTTTTTCCTGCACCCTTACCAAAAAATCATGAAGAGGGAGAAGGGGATGAGTAAAGAAGAGAGGGTAGCTAGAGTGCTGCTTCATACTATTAGCTCACTTCTCATGGGATAAAACCAACTGGATTATTGCTGCCGCCTCCCCCTGCACCCCCCCCCCGCCTTCCATTCTGCCCAAAAACAGTTCTCAAAAGCAAGTGTAATCCTCCTCAGTTGTGCCTGACTTTAAGTGCTACTGAAGACAGCAGGTGGGTTAACACACAGTGACAAGCCACAGTGGATACTGCAGAAGTATGGGTTATTGCTACATCTGATCCCACAATCCATTATGAAATGTGACATGTTTGTTCTTCATGAAACCACATGGAGAAACAATGGCTTGTTGCACAGTTTCCATGCATCACCATGGCCTGTTTCCTTCTATGAACCCAAAAATTGTGCTTCCATGCCATTATAATAGAGGTTCAGGGCAGGGGCAGCTGTGACTACAGTAGTCACTCCCACCTGGATTCTCTGCTTTTCAAATCTGCCTAGCAACTGCTGTGCTGATGTCAGCAGCACTAGGATTGGCTGCTTCAAGCACCTTAACTGTCTTGCCAATGTACATCCTTTGAATGACCAGCTCCAGGAACTTGCCAATAGTGGGGCACTGAGCCAGTACAGCAGCCATGACTGGGGGGATAACCATGCCTGGCATTCCTTTCTGAGCACTGCAGCGGCATTTGGTTAGCATGCCACCTATGTAGAACATACAGAAGCACCAACCTCCTCCCAGGTTAGCTGCCCTGCTCATGAAGAACACAAGGGCAGCATTTGGACATTGCCAACAGGGCAAGCATTCCAAGGAGCCCATGTCTCCTGTTCTGCTTCCCACCCCCTCTGCTGCTCCCACCTTGTCCCTGACAAGCCTTGGGACTCTCAGGAAACCCCACTATCCCCTAACCGCTTCCCCTAACACACACAGCTGTGGAACAAACACGGCCCTAGCAGCCTGCCAGAGAACTTTCCTGGACAGATACCTAGACAGCACTCTCAGGAAAGGTTGACTGGCAGGACACACCCCCTCTGCCCCTGGCATGGGTGGCCATGCCAATGTCCTTCATGTGTCTGGCTGCAGGGGAAGGCAGCCCCTGGCAGCATGTGTGACTCCAGCACACAGGGGAGTATGGACACATCTGTAAGGGAGGAGAGGATGTGCATGTGTGTGTGTGCATGAGTGCTTGTATGTAGATACAGAGCCAGACAGCAGCAGGGAGTGCTCCTGTACTGCTACTCTAGAGCAACAGTGCCACTCTAGAGAGTAAGCATACCTCTCTGAGCAGCCAAAAGAACTTGAGTAGCTGGCCAAGGCCATGCCCAGGGGGGGTGTGGGTCAATGAAGGAGAGGCAGCTAAGGTGAGCAGGAGCAGTGTACCCACAGATTGATTTCTAGCTGGAGGCTGATGGGATACATGTCACTACTAGGAGAAAAGATGGAAAGGCATGAAAACCATGCTGCTATCTGATCCCCAGACACAAAGTAAGATGGTTTTGCATTATTCATGAATGTGTACTTCTGAGTAGATAGGTGCATGGACAGGTTTCCAGCCAGTTTTTCCTTACAGGGGAGAGAAAGAAAGGGAAAGGGAGGAGGAAGCAGCATTCCTTTACTCTCCAGTTGACTTGGTGCATGGGCGAGAGTGAGAAGCCATGTGGGGACAAAAGAGACACAGGGTCACTAGATGGATGGCTGACCAAGCTGATCTCCTTTTCAGAGTGGTGTCAGCAACCAGAGCATGGGTGGCTGACTAACTGACACAGGCACCAGGACCCAGGCAACTAGGCTAGAGCCTAAAGCCCAATCCAAATTGTAACCAACAGTCCAAGATCAGTGCCAGGAATAGAAGAGCAAGGTAAGTCAATTCCAAGAAAAAAAAAACATAGTCAAGCAAGCCAAGGGTCAGGAAACAAGGAAGCAATGCAGGCAGGAGTGGGTACCAGAGGGCTGGAGCAGGAATAGGAGTAAGCAGGGGCCAGGAAGCCAGGTGGGGTCCAGGAGCAGGTCACAACAAACAAGAAGCACTACAGCAAGTCTCAAGACCTTAATTACCAAGGCAGCTTCTGGAGGAAAGAGCCAGTGCTTATGATAGCTCTTCCTCCAGGGCTTCCAGGTAGTGCGCATGAGAGACCTGACAGCTGCAGTAGATTGAATAATCCTGCAGCTACCAGGGCTGCTATGATGGTCTTTGGCCAGCAGAGGGAGCCCTGAAGCTGCCTTGGATCCTGAGAAGCGGCCTCTGTTTTGCTGAAACGTGATCAGGTATTCCCTCACGTGGCTCAACTCCTCCTCAGCCCACTAAAGTCACTCCTCCTGCCCACAGGAAAGTACTGCTAGTTTAGCACACATTGAAGCATATCCCATGGGGAAAATGCAATATATAAAAGAGTTATAACTGGTTTGAAGAGCTCTCAGATAGAATGGCAGGGAGAACAAGGAGGTCAGGCATTACAGCACTGAGAAAAATGCTTAGTGTTGGTCCTTTCCTTAATTAAAAAATTAAATTAAAAATTAAAGTTGGATATAGAGCAATAAGAAAAGGAACAAGGGAAGCTACAGTGGGTGGTTAAAATAACATTCATCTCTTTATTTTTTTTTCACATTGTTCCCTAGATAGTTGATTATCATGAGGTGAAAAACTGGCAGAAAAGGTTTATTGGCCCAATAAGCAACCTAAGTGGCTATCCTGCAGACTTAGGCAGCAGAGGCCAAGCTGTGCCAGAGTTAAAGTTACATTATGAAGCAGCACAATTAGGTAGCTTGAGAGTCTAGACAACAAGAAATAGAGATAATGGATTGTATCAGTATCTCCAGAGATCCTCTTGTGGATCCCACAATGAAAACAAGCCGAACAAGCCTCCTGCTTCTACAGCTGTGCCAAAATGCCCATCATGGAGGCCCCTTGCAAGTAGGTGCTGGCATCACTTTCTCAGGACTTCCTTCGACCAGCTTGCCTGCCTCCATGGCTCTTTTCATCTCTGCAGAGCAAGTGCCACTGCCATCTCCCAGGGTGCCACACATGACCCCCTTGTGCTGTGTCTGCAGAAGGGGGGCATTCAAAGCCCTGGCCAACCCTCCTCCACAGGTTTAGCAGCTTCAGAATTTTACATTCTGCCCTCTGTTCCTCTCCTTCAGAAGAAGTAGAAGTGAAGAGCACTGACACAATTCTTGCTCTTGCCCTGTGCTTATCCTCCTGATTTTCCCTTCCCTGCCTGAGAGCAGCTGCCATGTGCCCCATCATCCCTTCCCCCAGAAAATCATGGGAAGAAAAGTCAACACACAGTGTCCAGAACAGAGAAAGGTACAGAAGTCTCTTGAGTGGTCACACTTGTCATGGGTGCTACAATGGGGATGGGTGTAAAAGAGGGAGACAGTGAAAGAAAACATATGGTGCCATAGCATAAAGTGGAGATAAAGAAAAAAAGTGAGTTGGGAACACAGAGATAGGTAAGCTTGCCATGAATGTCATATGAGAGAAACAGCCCAGAAATTCTGAATACATGTGGAGAGACCATTAGTGTATTGGATGCTTTTGACAGGCTTGCCTGTCCTAGACTGTGGTTGGTCCTTTTGGTGGGAGGTGAAGACCTTTTTCGTTCCCAAGACTTTCTATACTAAAAACTGTGCTTGTGTTTTCTTGGATTTTTGCACTGCTGCATTTTTATCTTGGTTACTACTTCAGTTTTCTTCTGCTTTAAACTTATCATTCCATATGTTATGGTATTTTATGAGTTTAAGCTTTGTTTTGTAAAGCTGTGGCTAATGGGCAGTACAGCAATTTAATGAATAAACAAATTGGGAATAAGGAAGAAAGGTAGAATGTTCTGCCTTTTAGAAGGTATGGCTGAAATCAGATGCTGATTCACTCACTGGTCACCCAGTATGTTTTTCCAGAACCCAGTATGTTTTTCTAGAACCAGCATACCTGGACAAGGTTCATTGCTACAGATCCAGATGCCATGCCTGCAAATACTGGGAAATACAATTTTGTGAATTAGATACACAGACAAATTTAATATTCATATTATTTAAGCTACTGATGGATTGCTGAAGTACACACGGCTGTTGTTGGAAGCTGCTTCTTTTTATGATACAACTCCTTTGCTGAAGGTATCCACTACCTGGCCAGGTTTAAGGCACTAGGACTAGTATACAAAGTCCTGAACAGCTTGAGACTAGACTACATGGGAGAATGCCTTCTCCTTTACCAACCTGCCTTATAATTGGAGGACTTTCTCCATGGCCCAACTGGAGAAAAGCCTTCAGTGTGGGAGCCCCATTTCTGTCTGGAACTGTACTGTGGTTCATTGTGCGAGAGCCCGCAGGACCAGGAGCATGTCTATAGGTACTTGCAACGATCAGAGCCTGTGTAATCATGCAGCAGAGCTGGCCGCCCTGGAAGGCTATAAAAAGGCTTCCCTGTGCTGCTAAGTTTAGCCACAGCCCCATGTGGTTCCTGTGGTGGCTATAGTATGTTCCTGGTCATCTTGCCTTTGACTGTCCTGTGGCTCCTGCCTGCTCCTGCCTTTGGTCTGCCAGGTACGTGCCCCTTGTTCTTTCTGAGCTTGCCTTGTTCCTGACTCTGTTCGGCCTTGATGGTATCTGACCTCAGCTTACCTTGAGATCTTGTCATCCCTCTCCAGCACCCTGCTATCAGTGTTGCAGCTATAGCCACCTGCCTGACACACTTCTGTGGAATTTCCTGACTCTGAAGGCACCAAGCCTGTGCAGCTTTCTTCACTTGCTAAAGACACCCTTGTTCTGGGAAGCTTTTCTTGATGACCAGCCATGGTTTTGATGTTATCCTATTTTACTGTTTTATTTTAGCTTTGTACAGTTCACTGCTCCAGAATCTGCTTAGGTGTGTAGCAGTATACACATGATACAAATAATTATGGAAGGTTTGTGACTGGATTCCAACACTACAGAGCTGATTTGAATTGGAACCATGGCATAAGGTGAGGTGGATCTAGCCCTTTCTCCTACATTGAAAGTCAGAAAGAACTATATTTGTCCCTAAGGAACAATTACATAGGGTCTTAATTACAAGGGGAGGAGGCAATACCCTCCTAAGTCACCCACACCAATATTCCCATCATGAATTATCTAGGAGTTTCATTACTTTGATATATTTACCATGAGTTGCAGTCCTGCTGGATGGAAAAGCCAGGAGGGTATCGCTTGCCAGAATTTATACAGGAGCAGTCAGCACTTTCAACACAAAGGTCACCATCTAGTAACTTGCCCTCTGCAGAAACAAAAAGGGGGAGGGGAGTATTTGAGCTGTACTTATGGCTTACCCTAAATCCTGTATTTTACACACGTGAGTCTTACATACTTATTAACTGGCATTATTGAGTTACTGTCACTGCTAGAAACTTTGGCAGCACATTCATCACATGGGTGAGAGGGACACTGCTGGGGCCTAGACCCCTCTGAGATGTCCCTAAATCAGCTTTCTTTAACAGGCCAGTTCTCATAACCTATTTTATGTAATCATACTTAACACTCTATTGAGTAGGAATGTTGTGAATGAGGAAGAGAACCGAAGAGGGGGAGAATTGTGGGGGTATCAAATGATTGCAAATGGGTGGGACTGGAATACTGAAAGATTAAATGATTTATCTAAGAGCAACTGTGGAACCCAAAAACAAAAGAAGTGAAGGCTTTTGATTCACCACCCGCCCTATTAGAAACTGGATCTCAATTACCCTCACTCTCAAGCAGCTCATGACAGCAAGAAATCAACTAGAACACTGCATTTCCATCTCAAAGCAGCAGAACACTGATGAGAGGTAATGGGGTGAGTGTCTATATCCTCCTTCTGCACACACACATGCACACCAATTCCACCACTCATTCAAGTAATGGAGACATAAAATGAACATGTTTTTGTGAGGAGGAGTTTGGGTGCAAGTTTGGATTAAAGATAGTCAACATGTATTTTTCAAAAAATCAAGCTTCGTGGTTTGATTTTGAGTCAGGGCTTCCAGAAACTGTTTCTAGTAACATAGCATTTTCATCAGTTGTATAAAGAAGAGGACCTCTGAAGGTCTGTTTTCCTCATCCCTGAAAAAACAAAGCAGCCTGCACATATCTAAAATTAGAAAAAGTATTTCTATGATACAAGTTCCAGAGTTAACTCCTGTGGAGGCATTAGCGTCACTCAAAGCCCAGAGCTTTGTTTTAGGACACAAAAGTGCTACCCAAACCTAATATCCCACCTGCTGCCCAGAAACTGTCATAAACAGATAAAGATAATCTCCAAATATATTGCATTTGCACATCACACTAACCCACCCACAATAAACTGCACAGTGCCTTGGTTGTCATGTGAACAACCCACAGTAAACTCAATAGTTGACTGGGGTTAGTATGGGTTGTTGGTCCCTCCCTTCTCCTGCAGGCACCTCAGGGAACAGTGAGAGAGGACTGAATTGTCTTCTGGCTCCCTGCAACAATCAAGAGATGTTTGTAATTTATTGTGGCTTTTTTCTCTTTCCTTACTTTTCCCTCTCAGAAATGGTGAAAGTTGGGTTGACAGCCATCCACAGCCTCTTTAACTTCCCAAGCAACACCTAGAGACACTGTCCATAGCTGCTGGAACCTTTTAAGTGTGCAATTAAAAATTGTACAAATCCCCACTTTTTCAACCTTTGCAGTTGCATGAGTGTGGGGTCTTGGCTGGGTCAATGTCCATGGGAGTGCTTACTGCCACAGTTGATCAGGTACCAGTCTTGGACATCACTCAGAAGAACCACCAAATTGTTTTTCTCCCCCCTTCATTTCTCTATGCAACTGTCAAAAGATGACCTGACATTTTTTGATGAGCTGACAAATCCTCACTTCATACCTTTGGTTTAAAATTTGGCTGCCCCAATTTTCAAACAGCTCAGAGACTTCCAGGGCTTTCTTACTGGTTTATCAGAAGTGATTGCTTCTTATATGGCCCTGTCAATTGCAGTACATCCACTGGAGAGAAATTGTATTGGACAGTATAGGGGATGGCCCCATACTGGATTCACTGGACCACTGAAAGTTTTGCTAATTTCCTGAGAAGAGGGGCCCCAAAATAAAAACAGTAATTGGACCCTACCTGTACTAAGAAGCCTAGCACAACATTGCCCTGTCTTGTGAATTACTACTTTGCTGGCATTTTTCCCTTGCCTTGACAGCAGCAGAGAAGCCTAAATGAAAAGCTAATAATGAACTAGAGACTCAGACAACATGACAACCCAGTGTGGATAAGTAACCATGGTGGATTGCCATGTCATCTGAATCCAGATTGCTTTCCACAGGGTGGCTCTCTCTCTCTCTCTCCCTCTCTCCCTCTCTCCCTCTCTCCCTCTCTCTCTCTCTCTCTCTCTCATTGAATAGACCACCCTGAGAGCCCATGGTGTTCTTCTGTTGTAGGTGTTCTTCATCCATGATGGGTTGTCACTGTAATCCAAATCCAGGTGAGCAGTTCCACTGTGGGTTGAGAGAAGTGGAAGTGGCAGGTGAAGTGGTCGACAGAGCAACAATAAAAATATAACTTCTCTTGGAAATCTTGCCCATGCCACAACCAGAGATCATCCCTTCAATGTACCCAAGTGGCACATTGGAGGGCCTGTCACAGCTGACAAAGAGTAAGCACAATAAACAACCCACCATGCCTTATCACCTGGGTAGTTTAGTGTGAAGTGTGATCTTGCCCTCAAAAATGAGAAAGAAGTAATGTGACAATTAAAACAAGCCACAATTAATTAATAATTTCACAGAGATATCACAAATGGGTTAATTTAGTCTTATTAAATCATTAATTGCAATTTCCTTTCATTTCTTTGAGAAGGGTAGAGCCTATTCAGCCCTATGAAGAAGGCTGCACTGCCATAATCATTGAGCTACTACAGTACTGAATGTGTTTCTGGCTGAAAAGAATATACAGTTATGTTTTTCTGTGCTCAAGAAAGAAACCCCTCACAGTGTATCTTCTTTTCTTTCTCTTCAAAACAGCTGAAATCACTTAGAACTTATTCAAAAGCATCCTAGAATTAGAAGGAAAGAAGGGCAAAAGGAAAGAATTCATGGATCACCAATTCATGCTGGAACTAATATAGACCTGTATTTATTTTTATTAAATAGTAGCCCTTTGATAAAACACACATGAGGGCAGTATCGAAATTCCCTTAACTGGGGACAGATAAAAGGGGAGGGGTGAGAAGAGAGATGTAAACAGACACTGATTTCCTTCTTTAAACAAAATGGGAAAAGATTGGTCATTTAACAAATCAGTAAATAAATTACCAGGGCAGCTGCAGCCATCAACACATTTTTCTTGACACACTTCATTGATATGCAAGCTCTGGCAGGTTTTGGCACAAGGAGATGTGCACACTTTATACTCCAAGCCAGTTGGACATCTTGGACCTGGAAAGGTTACAATAATTCCAAAAACCTTATGAAACTATCAGTAGTGTTTAATTAGACAGAAAAGATGAAATCTTATCAGGCTCAAATCTTCTTTTTTATTTTTCCAAATTTATTTATTTATTTATAAGCATATTATTTTATTTATGCTATAGAAATGTATAATGTACCATACAATGAACATCTGAAATTTAGTAAAGTTCAACATTCATATTCAAAAATTATACGTATCTTCTGCATGTTTTTTAAAATATATAGTTTTGCACATCTTTTTCAAATGTATGCATTTTAGAGCAATGTTTTCACTGAATAAAGCAAATGTGTTGCTTTTGTTTGGTCCAAATTTAGAACTGAGCTGATCTGCATTCCATGAGCTAATGTGCAGATAGACAAGTATCCTTGTGATTTTGCAGTTTTCTAATTTTTTAATTTAGTTTTCAGTTTCATAAAAGTGCTAAAATATCAAAATTATATTTTATGATAAAATACATACAAAATGCATATTTTGCCATAATAAGTATATGAAACAGGGATGAGGAATATGTGTTTCTTCAATATTGTTGGACTGCAACTGCCATCATGCCTCATCACTGGCTAAGCAAGCTAAGCCTGATGGGTACTTTCACTGGTAAATGGAAAGCAACAGATTCCCTCCACTGGTGGTATAGAATGTCTAGTAACTGTAATTTAATATTATATATATATATAAATGCACAAACAGGACAAACATGAACATATGTGAAACTCAGATGGACCAAAGTTTGGTCTGTCAATTCCTAGAAGTTGCCAACAGTGCCTCTGCTGGAGCTTTCCACTGAGATAGCTCAGTTCTGAACACACACTGCTCTCTTCTCCCTTAAGGATGGAGCACTGTTTAAAACTGGATTGATGCAGATGAAAAGAGGCAGTCCCTAAAGCAGACCCGAAAGCCAGAACAATTACCCATAACTGGACTACTATGCTTCTGGTGTCGCATTCTGTACCAGCCACTCTGTAGCCCCAAGTATAGCTTCATCACTGTTGCTGGATTATATGAAAACTGAGGACAGTTATGTCATTAGCATACTAATGACATCATACTTCAAAATGCCTAATGAGTTTTCCAAGTCGTTGCTTATATAAATAAAGAGCACTGGGTACAAAACGGAAGATTTCAGTAACAAATGGCTTGAGCACATAGAGGTAAAGACAGGGCAATGTCACATATATGCCCCCAGAGAATCGCCTTCTGTGGCAGCTTTTAGTGCAGCATTGGAAGTTGAAGTTGTGTTACTCTATGCTGCCTAAATTGCACAGTGAAACTTACTGCATTCACTGCTGGCAGGCCATCCTTCCAGAGTCACACCATGTTGAGCACAGTTTCTGGCATACTCTAGAAAAACTGGACAGGGGCAGTTCCTCTCTTGAGCACATCTGCACATGTCTTCTTCACAGAGGCTAATGAATTGTTCTGGATCAACCAGATGATGACACTTGGAAAATATGTTGGATGTCCTTAGCAGCTGGCAATTTTCTATGACATCCTGCAGGTACAGAATAATTAAAGCTGTCACAACATAACAAAATCAGATGGATTGGCTGGCAAAAGATGTTACAAGGATATTTGTCAGAAGCTATTCCATTCCTCAGTTTTCCTTGGGGAGCAATCTGTAGTGGGATTCAGGTTGTCTTATGAACAGCACACACAAGTGAACAACCAAACAAGAACAACCAAATGTGACAACCCCTCTGACCTTAGGAGATTCTCTAGTCTCCACTAGTAGTGAAAAAAAAAATGCAGCAGCTGGGAGCCCGCTTACAATCTCTCTTCAGAACCAATCCCAGAGGGAAACTATAGAAAACAAAAGAAAGAGCTAGTATCCAGAGCTAGTATTCAATGACCCCCAAATTTTAGTGTTGAATTCCAAACTTCATGGGTGTAGGAATGCATTCAAATAATGAGATTTCTTCCTCCCCTCTTCCTGAAGCCCCTCATGCATGTCACAAATCTTTATGGATGATTCTTCAACGGAAGCAGAAATGCCAGACAGACAAAGCAACTGTGGTTTTCCAGCAAATGTGCTCAGTTTGGAGTATGTCTGCTACAGATATTATAAGTGCAGATTATTTAATGCCATCGCTGTACTGATTGCCACCCATGCCAGTGAGACCTGGAAGTTTACAACAAAAAGATCAATGTCTTTCAGCAACATTGCCTTAGATTACATATCTAAGTATGACCTACCACCTGCTTACTTGACCCTTGCCCTTCTTGGCCACTTACCAAAGCCAACACAGGATTGGTACCTGGGTCCAGGAAGTGATTAACACCTCTCTGAGGGAGGGCCAGGTCCCTGCCCCTTTGAAGGAGGTGGTGATCAGACCCATCCTGATGAAGGCTTCCCTGGACCTGGAGGTGACTGCCAATTATAGACTGGTGACCAACATTCCGTTCTTGGGTAAAGTGTTGGAGCGGGTGGTGGCAGGAAAACTCCAGGCACTCTTAGATGAAACTGATTATCTGGACCCATTTCAGTCCAGTTTCAGACCTGGTTACGGTAGTGAATCTGCCTTGGTTGCTCTGTACGATGACCTGTGCAGGGAGAGGGACATGGGGAGTGCATCCTTGTTGGTTCTCCTGGACCTCTCAGCAGCTTTCAACACCATCAACCATGGTATCCTTCTGGATAGGCTGGCCACATTGGGAGTATGAGACTCTGTTTGGCAGTAGTTCCACTCCTACCTTGCCGGAAGATTCCAGAAGGTGGTGCTGGGGGACTATTGCTCTGCACCATGGCAACTCTGCCATGGAGTACTGCAGGGTTCCATTTTGTCCTCCTCGCTATTTAGCATTTACATGAAACCACTGGAAGAGGTCATCAGGAGGTTCGGGCTGTGGAGTCACCAATACGGTAATGACAACCAGTTCTAACTCTCTTTTACAGCTAATTCAGGTGAGGCAGTGGCTGTCCTGAACTGGTGCCTGGATGAGGGCCAATAATCTGAAACTCAATCCAGATAAGAGGGAGGTCCTTTTGGTAGGTGGTTCAGGTTCTCAGGTAAGTGATTATGGCCCTGTCCTGGATGGGGTTGCCCTCCCTCTAAAGGACAGAGTCTGCAGCTTGGGAGTGCTCCTCAACCTAGAGCTGTCCCTAGAGGCCCAGGTGGCAGCAGTGGCGAGGAGCGCTTTCCTTCAGCTTCAGCTGATCCACCAGCTGTGTCCTTACCTGGATGAGCACAGCCTAGCAACGGTGACACACACTATGGTAACCTCCCGGTTGGACTATTGTAATATGCTCTACATGGGGCTGCCCTTGAAAACAGTCCAGATACTTCAACTGGTTCAAAACAGAGTTGCCAGATTGCTGTCGGGGGCCAGTCATTATTCTCATATAACACCAGTCCTCTATCAGCTTCACTGGCTTTCCATTGAAGCCCAGGCCCAATTTAAGGTCCTGGTATTGACCTATAAAGCCCTAAATGGCTTGGGACCAGGATACCTGAAGTCTTTTTCCATATATGCCCTCCTGCTCCTTAAGATCTGCAGCAGAGGCCCTGCTCCAGGAACCCTCCTTGAAGGAGGTTAGAAGAGAGTATACTTGGAGGAGGGTCTTCTCTGTGGTGGCACCCCGGCTATGGAATGCACTCCTCAGAGAGGTCCACCTGGTGCTGATGTTATATGCTTTTCAGTGCCAGGTCAAGACCTTTTTATTTTCCCATAATTTTAAATTTTAAATATTTAATTATGTTTATTCTCAGTTGTGGATTATTATAGGTTCTTGTATGTATTTATTAGGTGTTCTGTTTGTAAGCCATCCAGAGATGTGTTGTAATTGGACAGGATATAAATACCAAAATAAATAAATAAATAAATAAATATTACATATTGGGACCATATTATGAATGAGGAAGTATTATAAAGATGTGGTACCCGAAGACTCTCTGAGTTGGTATCAAAACAAAGAATGCATTTTGGTGGACATGTACTCCGCATGAATAAACAATGCCCAGCTAAGATCATGATTAACTGGATACCACTAGGTGGTCAAAGGAGGAGAGGAAGAAAAAAAGACCTGGTACCAAACATTCCAGAATGACCTAAGAGGTATCAACCTTGAATGGAAGCATAAAGAAAATGTTGCTGTGGATCGAACACTGTGGAAGACACTTGTAGCCCAATGTGCGCTGCACAGGATGTAAAGAAGATCCTTCAACCCTCCAGGGCATGGCACTGCTGAGAAAACAACACTGTCTGATACAACCTAATGTGACAGAGGTCTATTTACTTTCTCCACATCTTGTATAATTTGATAGTCCTCTATCATCTCTCACTTCACTCATAATTTTTCTAAGTAAAACCCTTCAGAAACTGTAGCCTTTTCTTACTGTTCTTTCAGCCTGTTACTCATTTTGGTTGTCCTTTTATGTCATTTTTCCAGCCCTACTATATCTTCTTTGAGCTGTAGGGACTAGAACTATACACAGTAATGCATATATTTGTATAATGCCCTTACAGTATTGGCCATTTTAGTTTCAATTCATTCCTATTGGTCCCTGACAGAAAAATTTCCTTTTTGCAATTACTTCACATTGGGTCAGCATTTTCACAGAATTTTCCACTGCAATTCCAACAGCCTTTTTCTAGACAGTCACCACTAGTGAATACATGAAGCTGGGATGTTTTGCCCCAACCTGGATCATATAATATATACTAAAAGTCCAGATCACTGATGAACAAGTTAAAAGGTACTGTTCCAATACAGATTTTGGTGGCAGAGGAGGGAGAGCTTTCATATTTGCATAGTGAGAAGGAGAAGTATCACTCTACTGTGAAGGACTATTATTCAGCTATGAAAGACTGTAGTGCATGCCATTCTGAATATTCAAGCTGAGACTGCAGATTGTTGTGTCATTCAAATACAGTATGGGTGGGATGTGCAAACCCTGTGCTTGACTTGTTTAAAAAGCTCCTGCCATGTTTAGATCACAACAACAAGCCACAGTTCTGGCTTGAATTTTCAGGATTTTTAGTTAACATGTTACCAAGGTACCAGACATACCTTTGCAAAAGTAATATTGATTATCCTTCATCAAGTCTTTCTATATGTTTTATATTATATAAAGAATTATACAGGGTGTTTCATAAAGTACACAGTTTTTGAATTGCATGGTATTTTTTGTTTGAAGATTGTCAGCACTATTCCTATCATTTTCCTTATCTATTATCACTCCAATTAGAAGACCATTTGTCATTTTTTCATTTAGCAGCCATGGAGTGGTTCAGTATCGAGGAACGCAATCTTATTGTGAAAACTCATTACAAAAACGGGGAGTGCTACACAGAGACTGTCCGTGAACTTCACACGATCTTTGGATGTGACAATGCTCCTACCGCAACAACAGTTTCGAGGTTAGTACAGAAATTCAAAGAATCTGGGTCATTTGCAACCAGAAAATCGCCCGGTCGAAACTGTACAGATAATTGGCGAAATCAACAGGGACGTCTGTGAAAGAGTTATCATTAATTTCAATGATTGGATGACTGCCTGCAGAGAAAGTGGAGGTGGACATATGCTCGATATCATTTTTCATTATTAAATCTAAGTATATGTTGAATGAAATCAAATAAAATTTTTAAATTTTGCTTCGATTTTGGCTGATTTATTGCATTTTTAAAAACTGTGTACTTTATGCAACACCCTGAATCATATCTAGAATTAGGTTTTCCACCAGTGTACTCAGAACAGATGTTAAGCTAATTGACCTATAATTTCCTGGATTCCCCCTGGATCCTTCACTAGAATTTGGTATTAGATTAACCACTTTCCAGTCATCCAACACACAAGCTAACTTTAGGAGCATGCAGAAATCAGATTGACTATGTGCTCTGCAGCCAAAGATGGAGAGGCTCTATACAGTCAGTAAAAACAAGACCAGGAGCTGACTGTGGCTCAGATCATGAGCTTCTTGTTGCAAAATTTAGGCTTAAATTGAAGAAAGTAGGGAAAAGCACTAGGCCACTCAGGTAGGACCTAAATCATATCCCTAATGAATATACAGTAGAGGTGACAAATAGATTTAAGGAATTAGATCTGATAGACAGAGTGCCTGAAGAACTAGGGATGGAGGTTCACAACATTGTGCAAGAGGTAGCAACTAAAACCATCCCAAAGAAAAAGAAATGCAAGAAAGCAAAATGGCTGTCTGAGGAAGCCTTACAAATAGCTGAGGAAAGAAGGGAAGTGAAAGGCAAGGGAGAAAGAGAAAGATACACCCCATTGAATGCAGAAATCCAGAGAATAGCTAGAAGAGATGAGAATGGCTTCTTAAATGAACAGTGCAAAGAAATAGAAGAAAACAATAGAATAGGGAGGACCAGGGATCTCTTCAAGAAAATTGGAGATATGAAGGGAACGTTTCATGCAAAGATGGGCATGATAAAGGACCAAAATGGCAGGAACCTATCAGAGGCAGAAGAGATTAAGAAGAGGTGGCAAGATTACACAGAAGAACTGTACAAGAAAGAGCTTAACATTCCTGAAAC